GAGTGAATACTGTGTGGCAGGACTGGAGGTGCATTAGGTGTCAACGAATCACTTTTGGAAATGATCTGAAGCATGGTGTCTCTTGTTAGAAGTATTTGTATAAGTAAGAATAATTGCTTACCGATATGGCGACTTTCTTAGTATCATCAGAGATGTTGACCTTTCGCCTGGACGTGATTACCTGAAAAAAGTATGAGTTTTTAGAGGGTGTGGAAAGTTCATTCCTCTCGACGCCTTCATTAGCTAAGTGAAAACTTCGAAAAGATTGTTCTGAATACGGAAGCGCTGCCTCTCACAAGGCATCGTAGTTGGGCAGGGGAGGTGAGGTGGGGGAGGGGGTAACTACGGAAATCCTAGGCGCGACACTGCGTAGTCAGCAAGTTCCATGGCTAGTTCGCAAGTAGTCTGGCTCATCGGCTTACAGTTTATGTGTTTACTTAAAGGCAGGGAACACGATGGCTGGAAGAGGCGGTTGTCGCCTATGTCATTGGTAGAAGGGCCGAAAATGGTGGGCCAATGCCCTCTCCCAGCCATTCCACCAATGACGCTGGTGGAAGGGCTGGGAAGGGGCAATGGCCCGCCTGCCTCCAGCAATCGTACCCGCTGGTTGGTTTTGTTTTGAGAAATCTGACAATCAAGAAGTTGCTTTCTTACTCTCCAAGTTTTTGGTTAGGTTTTAGTGTGGCGCCAGCGCGTTCCCATTAGTCGTTGCAGCTTCGGGATTGGATGATGGTGGGAACGTGTCGCCGAGCTAAAACCTCGCACTGCTGACACGCCCCGACTGACTTCAGTGACAGCGGCTGTGATACTCAAGAACGTGGAATGGAAGAAACAATTACAATTTCGCTTGTCGAATTTTCCAGGATAAAGCCGTAGAATGAACAGTATAAGACGTAGGCTGTGATTAACTGATTGATGAAGCCGCAGTGATCTGTCGAGTCAACTGGCTGAGGATAATTGCTGGTTCGCGCTCGTTGTCGCGACGCGGATCTTCCTGGGCCATACCGCTCGAGCTTGGAAAGGCATTTGCTCGTACCCGTCATCCGGGCAGTTGATTAGGGTCGTCAACGGGCCGCAGCGCGTGCCAGGAACTATTTGCTTTTTCCAGGCTAATTTAGTCATTTTTTCCAACTTTTCACTGTTTTGGCTACTTTTTCCCAGATTAGCAGCTCCTTATCTTCACAAGGTGGAAAAAATGACTAAATTAGCCTGGAAAAAGCAAATAGTTCCTGGCACGCGCTGCGGCCCGTTGACGACCGCCCTAATCAACTGCCCGGATGACGAGAATAGCTTTGCGCCTTCTTCACATAGCTAACCGGGGGGTTTCTGCAGGGGGGGGGGGGGGGGGGGGGGGGGGGGGGTGAATTGTTAATAAAATCTTGAGGACGTTTGTAATCCCAGACAACCGTCAAAGTCCACTAACTTTGCTTTTTGAGAAGTGCTAATTTGTTCTGGTGACGCACAGAAGGTCGAAGGCTTTTCCGCTTCTTGATTTGGCTAATTCCCTGGTAAACTTGTAGTTAATATCCAAGGCCAAGCTATTAGCGAATGTGCTGTATATGTCCAGCAAAACGAACCTCTTGAATGGAATATCCTATCCATAGTAACGCGGACATGCCAAACACTGTCATTAAGAACATTCTGTGAGGTCCAGCACCAATGTGATCCAAAATCAAGAAACCAAAAAATGTTAGCACTCCGACACATCGAGAAATCTCCAACGATGGTGCATATGGCCTAAAATTCAATTGAAGGGCAAAAAAGTTAATCACTCCAAATAGATCAGAAGAGCAGACGTTCTCTGTTAGGCGCCCTCAGAGGGCCGGGTCTGGCGCTTCACCAGCCATATACTCGAGGCCGGTTCAAGCGATAATAAGTGGTGTGGAAGAGCGGGCTGGCGAAGTGCCAAACACAGCCCCCGAACCGCCTACCATCTGCAGCTCGAAGAACGCTATAACACTCTGTTTCGCTGCGGACGGTTGAGCGTGTCAGGCAGTTTGAGTGCGTCGTCCCGTCAAAGCCGTATCTGCCTTCTTGCTGAAGCGCGCATGCGACAAAAAGTGACAGAAAACGAGTAATACGGACGATATGATATAGCCATACATTTCGTTTCGCCTTCACACAACTGCTGAAAAATGGGTTGGTCACCGTGGCCAAACTAATCCCGCCTAGACACGTCCCAACCGTCCCCAAACTACACTATACCTATTTCGCGAAGACGCTCCCGCATACCGTCGCATTGTGACGAGGAAGAACGCGATTTTCAGCGTAAAGTCCACGTAGCTCATCGATGCTCGATCGTATTCGAAATGTAGGAATATCGCCAATAACAGTGTGAAGTGTCCGACCAAATAGAGTTTTATCCAGGCTTCCAAAGGCGGATTGTATTTGACAACTGGTTTCTTCAGCTAAAATTTAGCACAACTTCGAAGACAGTCAGAGAAAGAGTGAGAAGTTTAACGTACCTCAGGAACTCCGTAGGCCGTGTCGACAAGGCTCATCCAGTGGAAGAATGATTGTACAGGAACTCCTGGGAACCATCCAGGAGGATACAGCGCTGCTTTTATCTGGCAACAGAAGCGATAAAGTTGGGGTGTGTAGCGTTTGTTCCGATTCTGCGGCGCGTGACTAACAACTACCGCGAAAGTGGTAAATCGATCGTGATTAACACCCGCTACCGTAACGCTATCGTTGCTACGGTAAGTCGAGTTGACGTGGGATCGGAACCATTCAAACTGAAGGACAGTTTCTACACTTTGAGAACATCGCTCTGAGACACGCAACAATGATTTCTCAGTGTGTTTTCTGCAATGTTAGCTGGTAAACTCACTATCATCGCCCCACTTGGTATCCCGCCGCAGCTCTGATGCTCGAATTCTTGAAGTCATCCCAAGTCAGTGACAGCAGGGGGGGGCTCAAGAACGCAAGCTACTAAAAACAATGAATGGTTCATAAATATAGGCGTAAATATCAATAATGACATAATGTCCATCCCCTCCTCCTTGAACGATTTTCCCCCCCCCCTGGATAGCGCTCTCCCTTTTTCATTCTTCATGTTGTCCTTTGAAATAGCGTGAATCCATAGCACCATGCATTCTAAAAAAGTCCTGACCTGAAAATTCAGAGAAGAGCTCTGGTTAAACCCTCTAAGAAATAAGATGTGGTGCAGGTGTCAGGGTTCAGTTCCCTGCAGGATTGCTCGGTGGCATTTAGGCAGCGTTCATAGTTCGCGACAGCAGCGGCGATCGCCGCGATCGCCAGCGATCGCCGCGATCGCCGTGATCGCCAGCGATCGCCGCGATCGCGGCGATCGCCGGTGCATCGGCCGCGATCTATGAACGCGGCTGAGTGCCTATACTTCGGTGGACGCTTTCATCTAGTTACCTTTCATGTTTCTTTAGGCAGCAGTTTGCCGAGGCAGTCATGCGGGTCAGTCGTCCCTTTACCCTTAGAGCACGATGCTGGCCAATCACAAAGTTAAGACTTTTTCGCTCAAGCAGAAGTGCAACAGCTGGATTAGCTAACAGGAAAATAAAAAAGAATGACTCATAAGGTGGCTACCTGCTGACTGGATATTCCGATTCTTGCCGTTCCCATTAAATACAGAGCTACAAAACAACATTCTGGTTACCCGGAACTCGCATGGATACCCGGAAATCGGAGCATGGCATCGGACCCGCCTTCTCTACTGCCATGGTGAACATCGCTAGGGATTGCGAGGCCGGCGCAGTCAGGAAAACCTCTTCTTGACCGCTTAGTGAGCGGGTGGAGGAGAAGCGCGGCAACGACACCGTTTCCTGGCTTCGCCCACACGGTAATCTCCATTGGTCTTTAACTTTGGCACAATTTCCCGATAGGGACTCAGCCAGCTCCAACAACCGTTATAACCTTGTTCAGCCCTCGCTTGAACTTCTCGTCCACCTTTTGACTCTTTCAAATAGCGAAGGCAAAGAGCCCAAAACTTTGGCAGTATGGAGATGGGATTTTTGGACGGTTCTAGCCAACCAAGTATCACGTCACTGAAGACTTTCGATCAACTGCTGAACCACAAGCTTCTTACCTGTAAATAGATTTGATCGAAAGTGTTCTCGTTATGAACTAGACCATATATTGGTGGGTCGTCTTTTCGCTCCGCTTCAAACGTTCCAAACATCTAAAAGGATCGAGGCAGTAGTTTCAGCACTTATGTCAGTGATCACTAAATAAGCTATGCAGAGGAAGTTAAGAATATCTGGCGCAGTTCGGCTTGGTGGGACAATTTGCTGGTTACCGTCGATTACTGCCGATGCCTCGGATTGACTCGATGCTCGCTGGGAGACTGTAGATGTCTTGTATAAGCGATCGCCGATGCATGAAGTGTTCGTTTACACGTTGACAAGAGTCATACATGTGACTTACTCAGGTGGACGCGTGCTATTTGAACAGGCGGATCTGCAACCGGAACTAGCGAAGGTGCAAAAATGTCCTCGTCCCCCTAAAGCAGAACTGCACCGTAAATTCGACACTTTTTGGTGATCACCTCTGTGATATGAAAACGCACCTTATCCCATATGATGAAAACACCGCCGTAGTTTTTATCGATACAATATGGATTCCGTCCGTGATGTACTCGGTGATGTGATGGCGTGTTGAAGACGATTCCTAATGGTCCAAGGTCACCTACCAACTGAAATAAATTCAAGATCAGATTCAGATTTTGAAGCTTGAGCGAGCGCTAGTTGGACCACCAAGCTGGTAAATGAACTGGTCTGAGATTTCCGGTCGAAGAATCACATCCATCTACAGCCCTTATCTCGTCGTTTGAGGGGGAGTGTCCACGGACTTGACTATGAACGCGATGGCGGTAGGCAGGTGGTTCAGGAAGCGATGTACATGTCATGTGAACTAGATAGCAGCAAAGCTGAGCGGATAGCAGACGTTGAATGTCGATGCTCCCATCTTCACCGTTTGTCTGAACCCGCAACTGCTTACTGTCGCCGTCTTCACCGTCATGTCCGTAGGTACACTCCATATCTCAGAAACGGGGAGTCCGTGCCTGCGTACTGCATTCAAACGTGGCGGCAGCTGCGCTCTTAGAGGGTTGTTGCAGTTTCATGACAGTTGCAAACATACTTTCTTCAGTACAAGACAGGATAAAAGTGTATCAACTGGAAATAACCCACTAACAACGCATCGTACGCCATGTTTAAGTGAAGTGTGCAACCACGCCTACTCCATTGCTGGGATATGGAGTGTACTCCTCGCCCAGTGTCGAGATATGGGCTATACCTCTGGTAGTTAACAAGGATTGCCTGATATGTTCTGCTAAAGAACTTACACTGGTATGCATGACAAACTGGAGAATTTCGCTGAAGTAACGGTGTACCAGAAATATCGGCGGCGGGATGAAGAACGCCTAAAAAGAAAGTTTCATGTAAGTCTTTCCCTACGAGAAGATGGTTACACAGACCCCC